GAATAAGAATACTGATCAGGTAATGTTTGTGCTAAGGCACCATCCAAAATCGACGCTGAATAAGTAGCAATCGTACGAGAACAACAACGGGAAAGTGGAGAGTTGAGGCATAAGGGGTGACTCTGTGTTACGGCTATTAGCGGTAGTAATTGACGGATTCCTTTCCCACTTTTTCTCACTGCTCCTTTCCCCCTTCTCATAGCGGCCAGAACTCAACATACACAGAAAGAAATCGTGTAAAAACACCGATTTCTGGAGGATGATCAATCACGCATGGACATGGGTACCCCCTTTTCCCTCCCTAAAGAAATGCAAACAAATCTTGCCCACGTAGATGAGATGGTAATAACCTCATACATGACTACAGCTAGTTAACTGAGGAGGAAATGAAGACAAAGTGATATCGTCTCTTTCCCTATCCGCGGAATGTATGAAATCGTGAGTGGAAGATGGAATAAGCGGGATCGAGAAACTAGTAAAAACATCCAATGACGTTGTAAATCAACTACATATAGAGAAAATAACTTGCTGAAATTGAGAGACAAGTGATGACAGCCAAAATACTGAATGCAACATCTGTGAGCAAAACCTTGTGAGTATAAGGTGAGAGGAAGAAAAAAATCCTACCCGTTAGGGCCTTTGTAACTGAGCAAACCCAAAGAACAAAATGAAAAATGGAAGCTAGCCATCAGCTTCTCCATGCTGTTTTGGAAACGAGCATAAGAATCACTTTACAAAATGTTTTTCAATGTAGTTTCTTAGAATACAACACTTGTCGTTTTGAAACGTGATTGTTGCCGCAATTTCTACTTTTGGGTCCTAAAACGATTAAAGAAGTTCGTAACGGGTCGTGAACAATCTTGATTGGGACAACTTATTCGACGTTTTGTTCTTTTGTAAAAGAATCCGATCAGATTTTTGTTCTATCCCTGAATAGGATTCTTTTGTGTTCAGATGACCTACTTTACTAGCTGGGAAGAATTCGCGAAGGCAGTAGAGAAGCTACATTCTGTAAATGCAGAGAAATGCAGGTGAGTATGTTTTGTTTTTTTTTGCGCTGAAATCTTTAATCAGACTCGGTGCTGCTCATGTTTTATGTCACTTCTGATTAACCGAAGGCTTTGCGCCTGTCCAGTACTGTCAAAGCATAACCAAAGATCCGAGTATTACATGCTGAAGTGAAGTTATGTGGTCATGTCTTGGCAACTACTGCTCTTTTTTTCTTCAATCTATTTTGCTCTCTCTGGTCTTCGGCTTCTGAATTTGCACGGCCTGTGTGAGAATTTATTTTAATACACCTCTAATTTTAATAAAACTGAGGAAGGTTATCTCAACGACTGGGATATTCTGAAGTTCACCTTGGCGTGCCCATTGTCCAGAGGCATGGAAATCGCCTATGATTTTAACTAAGCTCACCAACGATTTCTGACTGCAGCTTGAGGCTCGACTGCGTCACGCTTTTATCAGATTGGGTTGTTGCGATAATTACGTTTTCTTGCAATCTGGGTTGATAAATAAGAGTCCGTTTGAGGAACGAAAGTTTCGGTCTGGATCTGCGTCGCCTTAATCTCACAAATCAATATTTACATCAAGTCCGCATTGAAATGCGCCTAATTTTGATCGGTTTCAGAAACATGAGGCCTCAGGAAGAGCTGAAATGCCGAATTCGCGATCGTTTAATTCCCAAATTCTTAAATTTTTCATTTCTACTACTTCTATATGTTTTAGGGCCCTAGTTGCTTTGAGACTTAATTCTTATATTGGAAACCATAATTTTGGGAAAGACGCTATTGCAACAGCATAAAATGGGTATCGATGTAGCGAATCGGGTTAAAGCGCGAAATGGGCGTCAACAGGAAGAAGCCAACCAAATGGTAAATTACTATTCGCGGTAGCATTTTTTTTTTNTTTTTTTTTATTTTTTGCAATTCTGTGTTCCCACTTTACGGCGAGTTTGGTATTTGGCGACTCCTCGATTTTATACCTATGAGTCATACTTTTTCACCAACTACCATTTTTCAGTTTTTCATGATCCTTTCTAGGAAGAAGTATTTTATGTCTTCACGGTGTTGCCAACTAGGCCTGAAAATTTTTGCTTCAATTTTGTCGAGCGCCTGAAAAGTTTGCAGACATTCAACATGAATTGGTTCAATTTTTTGATAGTTTTCCCTACGTTAAATGTTCCCTTCTTCGAATTTTTCGTCCTATCTTAAATTTTTCTTATTCTGGGTGCATCTGCCAAAGTACCTTGAAAGGCCAATTAATTTTGTTAAGTCTTCTTAAAATCTCGTCGTGCGCCATTAATTTGAAAATCCTCTTAAATAATCCTACTCTACATAACGCAAGTGTGTCTGTTGGTGTGTGTGTGTGTGCGCGTGTGTGTGTTTGACCGGAAATTCATTACTCCGGTACCCAAAGACCTAGAGAGTTCAAATCTAGCAGGACTACAGGCGGCAAGATGGGAACACTTATGGTGGGTGATAGGACTGGATTCTGCCCACAGGGGTCGGAGTTCAGCTCAAAAAATTCAAATTGGACCTAGAGCGCTAAAATCCCGTAGGAGTACGGGAGACAAAATGGGGACGCTGATGGTTGGTGACAGGACTCCGCTCCGCCCACAAGGGGCGTGTTGTGAGCGAAATTATTCAATTCGGGCCAATTTATCCTTCAATGGGTCATTATTTTCAAGATGAACAGCAACCGATCGAGATTTTAATTATAGGTGTAAGCACCGGCACACACTGACTACCACTTGCATGCTCTGTCAGTCCTCTATCAGGTTTCTGTTCCGAAAAGTATCATTTGTTCCAAAGAAGGATTGGGCGATTGTTACAGCTCTATTCAGGAAAACACGCAGCGGCAAAAATCAGGAATCTTTGTTGGGTGGCATATAATGCAGGTCGAATGAGGAATTTCTGTGATTCTGGTATGACTTGAGCATGCAAACATATGCTTCCGCTGCGGTTTCTACAGCTTTCACGATTTTCATGGAAGTTCCCAAAAAATCGGCGACTGACTGTTTGAGAGACACATTTGACCGGGATCGTCGGCCAGTTGGCGCGGAATCATCTCATGATAGACGGACAGGCAGACGCGAATGCTATCTGTATAGCATTTGTATATAGTAAGAATATTTTTCAGCAGGTTCATTACTTTGATCGAAGCACAATCAAGCCTGGCGAGGGGAACTGAGTCCTCGAAAATAGTGCAAATACCATAGCTTAGCACATCATATTTTCTGAAAGTTGAGAAAGCATTTCATGAAATGCGAGTATGCCTCAAGACGCTAAATCGCGGTGGCCACACTAAAATTAGCTTATCATGTCATCATACCTGATTTTCTTTCAATGTACTCACTCATCTTTGTACTTATCAAAGAAGAAGGGTCCCAAAGTGTTACGTCGAGGTGGCAGCAGCGAGGCAACCTGGTATCAGCATAGCAGTTTACGTAGCTCCACGTCATCTGGGCCTCCGGATACATACCAGTCACCTAAGCAACTCCGCATTTCGCGAGGTACTGTTCCTCTTTCTTGGGTTGACCTATTGGAGTGGGTATATTTGAAGTAGGAATAAAACTTTGTTCTTAATTAATAGAAATCAAAATTAAATCCTGTTGTAAATTTAATTTTGATTTCTATTAATTAAGAACAACGTTTAATTCTGATTTCTATTCATTTAAGTTTTCTTCATGTGAATAGACAGGCGATAAAACGGCCAAAGATATAACATCTGCAAGCAGCCAAGGACAAAGTGGTGAGTTATTGGGATAAACGGATAAAGGATGAAGTCTCTGGGTGGTGATCAATCCCGCTGAGGGATGCGCATCCACAGCCGACTTTCTTGAGCAGTGGCATATGGAATGTGTATGTGGCCTGTACAATGACTTGCGAGCCGATGTACAAGTCAGTGCTTTTATCATCCCAGACGGGTCTGGTACCATAACTGACTGGACGGGTGATTGGCCTAGGCGGATTTCGATCCGGCGAGCCCATGAACTTGCGTGTGTGATAATGGTAGAACTACTGGGAACCATGAGTAAATAAATGCGTCTACCGTGTCCGCACCCAGCGAGCACCTGCGCACTCACGACAGTCAGGCAATCTGATTGGGTTTAATTAAACACCACAAACACTGCTAGACAATTTTAATTCTCGTCCGAAATTTTCACTCGAAACAACTGCTTCCTGGGTATCGGCCATTATCCATATTCTCTTCAATGGTTCAACGGCAAAAATAAGGTTCGAATCGATGGTCAGGCAATTTGCCTTCTGTCTGGTGAGCAGACGACGTTGTGCTGTGCTGTGAGTCTGCACTCTGCAGCCATGTATGTAGTAAAGTGGATGATATATAGGGGGAGGGGCTAGTGTTACTCTTACATCTGCTTGTTTGTTTCATGTTTCTTTTAGCTCATCAGCTACTTATTATTTGAGTCTATCAAGTTATGTTTTCCGTCAACTCTGTTGCTTAAACGACAATGAACTTATGGTGTTGTGGCACCATTCCACTTGTAAACGTTTGCCGTACCGTCATTACATCACTAAGAGATATTGTCAACAGTTCAGATGAGATTATCTCTTCTGCTTTCACATTTCGCTATTGATAATCGATAATCTCAATTTCACCAAGTTTTTCAAATTGCCAAAACCTTTCGGTACTGATCGGTACAACCGCCACCCGGCTTCCCTGTTCCTTTCGGACAGGTAAGGACGGATGTGTCTTTGTGAAGCATCAGGCTATCTCTTGATTGTTTTTGCCTTTAATAGTGACGTTTAGGGTACAAAGGTAGTTGGTAGTTGCAGGCCGAATTATGCATGATTTTCTCGTTTCACATTACTGATTGTGAGTATGTGAACGTAGCGTGCGCTTGGGCAGTTTGACATTCAATGAAATCAAAGCGTAATCATAATTATGTTTGGGTACTATTCGTAGAAGTTATTTATTGGTAAGTCAGTATTATGTGTGACACGTCTTAATGGTAAATAAATTTCCACCTACTGAGATTAAGAAAATGAGATCAGCTGAGGCTTTCAAAATTTTCAACTGACATTAAGAAATTAGTCTAATGAAGTTGTGTTGGTTCAACAGCTAAAGATTAGAGTGAAGCAGTTGCTGAGGTCGGCAGTGCTGATGGACGGCCTGTATGTTTTCGAAAAGATGGGCGATACTTCTACTAAGTAGTCACTAATGCTTTTGGTATTGATTCATCCACGAGTTTCTATCCACCTCTTACGCCTTGAACCCCTATTCTCTAGTCCATCTATTGTCTACTTTGTCTGTCCTTGTGAACTAGGGTAACTTGAGGTTGTTTAGTTGACAGGGCCTGAGCGCAGAAATTAGTCATCCGATTTCCTTAAAGCTATGACTGCACCGTTGGAAAACGGTGTACTCGGCATATTTCCACAAGCCCTCACCAATTCACTTGATCATCCCTCACCGTTACACTGACCTTTGTTTTCCTCGGAAGATGCTGCGTGTATGCCGTGAGAACTTTCCAGAAACGAAGGAATCACTTGATCGGAAGGTCCTGATGATTTGGCTTGAAGATATCGAGTTGTCTAGTCCCTGTTTCATATCAGGTGTTGTTATTTCACACGAATGGATGCCAGATTGAAGAGGAATTTCTCTTTGTTCATTTTGTGGGGTAAAACAGATGAAATTCCACCCTTGGAGCGATAACCTTCGCAAAGTAAAGATCCTCAAGGGTGCTCGTGCTAGTCGTATAGTCTTCTGAGCCTATCGTAGCACTTAAACAATTTACCATCCGGTATGCTGAGGTGTGATTCACCAGTAAATCACTCCTTATAGACAGCATTTACTGTCAAATAGAGGGCAGCGTCAGTAGGGGAGGAAGATTGGGAAGTGAAAAGGAAGATTATTCTCGAAAATGAAAATAAACCTACTGGGGACGACTCAGCAGATGTGAGGTAAATCGGGTGAAATTCCAGGAGCGATAATTATTCGCAAAGTAAGGACCCTCGAGGGTGGGGGAGTGAGTAGGAAAATTATTTTCTAAACATGAAAATAGACTGACTGGGGACGACCTACATAATAGATGGTGAAAACATTGCAGTCTCGTGGGTGGTTCTTCTATTTGAAATTGATTTACCCTCAAAGTTATATACCATTTGAGTGATTAGTAATGTTATTGTGTTGTTGGAAACGTTGACTCCAAAATACGTCACTTTGGTAGTTTGTGGTGTAATCGACATAAAACCTCTGCCCTGCAAGTATAGCACTCGTAGCGCAGGCAGTTGGTGCTTTTTCTTTGCATTTCCGAAGTGTTCGTTGAGACAGCCAATGACGCGGTGTTACACAGAAGTCGTATAGGAACGGAAGGCTTTTAACAATTTTTTTTCTGGTCTTTCATACATATTGGATTTGATGTTGAACGTATGTGGGATGATTACAATGTTCCAGGTTCGTGACGAAGTATAACCACCGAGATGGCAAGTTGACTATGAAAATGACGGACGATGTGGTTTGTGTACAATTCAGCACGAATCAACTGCAAGATGTGAAAAGATTGGAGAAATTGTCGGCATCGCTGATGAGATCGATGGTTTCTTCTCACAGCTAGTCGTCATCGTCGCGTTGGTCCTTCAAACTCACCATCGCTCTTCGGTTTTATAGCTCTTTATTGTGCATGTACTTCACAGGGAATTCAATGATTTGTACAGAAGTTGGGACTTTTTGTGTGATCAGGCTTTTCAGTTTTCAAATCTTCGATCTGTTGGCAGTTCTTTTCCCCTTGTGTTGCTGTGTAGGAAAACGAGAAGCCCCGTCATGCTCTTGGGTGTGACGGCGGTTTTCAGCTTTGAGCAATGAACAGTTCTATCGATAATTAAGCCTAATGGAGCCAAGTTGGACATTATTTGTTTGTGGTGTTTCTATTTTGGTGGTATGTCAATAAACTCTAATAACTTAGATTTTGTATCGATAGATGGGACTGTCAGAAACTTTTTTCTGGGAGATTTACTTCAGAGTTGGGAGAGAACAAGTCAAAGTACGGTGATCTTCATCGATATCTCTCTTATTATAAAGCAGAAACTTGGTGTGTCGGTTTGTCGGTATGTCTGTCGGTGTGTCCGTCCGCAAACTTTATGATTACGATAAAGGCAGTGATATGGATAATTCAGTTCTATCCTACATTCCTCTGCATTTCTTCACTTAAAAGGGGTGGGGGGCATTTTTGACTCAGTAAATGTAAGATATGGGGGCCTGGCGTAAATCGGGCGGCCCAACTGGTTATTTGTAATGTGAAATTCCACTGGGCGAAGTAGATTTATAAAGCATGGGAATTAGGATAAAGTTTTCATTTTACTCATTTTACTTATATACCTAAGGGTTAAGAATGGGTGGCGAAGTTTTTGGCCTTAGTCAATCCCGTGGGGATGCGCCACTGCATTTGACTTCCATTCGGAATCGTGGTGGCGGTTTGAATGCGCATATGGCCTATACAGTAGCTTGCTGTGGCCAGCCGATATACAAGTCAGTGCTTTTATCCTCCCAGACAAGTTTGGTACCAATTAATTGTCAGTCCTGGTTAGCCTAGGCGGATACCGGTCCGGGGCTTGGACCCGTGACCATGGGTGTGTCACAATGCGCTACTTGCCCCTACGCCATTCCCGCCGTCACTTTTATTCATATGTATGAATATTCTAACTAGTGGTAGTATAAGTATGTATCCCTTGGCCTTCAATACCAAGGAATCTGGCTGTAGTAAGATGTAGTAAGAAGGTAGTGGGCTCCATTAGGGGGAAGTGACTGTGTACCCGTCTAGTTGATTCCCTAACCGACCCCTATTTATGAGCAACTTTAAGAAGGGTATCTACATTGGTGAATTTCCTCAGGTTGGCTGTGAATTTGACAATCATTAGAGCTCACTTCAAAGTGAAATATACAATTTTGAAGGTTGTGCAAAAAAAGGCGTAAGTAGTCGAGCTTAATCGGAAATTCAAGAGCAAGTCGAAATCGGAATGCAAGAAGGACTGGAAGAAGAATCAGACCGGCCCAAGGGTCCAAGGCACAGTTCTTTCACCTATAATTCATGGGACCATGGGGTAAGCCTTGATTGAGGCTGGGCTTAGTCGCAATGAGTAAGCACTTTTGGGCAGATACCCCTCATACATTCAAGCCCNAAAAACTTAAAGCTAAAAAGACACACGAAATTGTTGGAAACTTAATTTTCGCTCTCGTTCGACGATATACCTCTTGGATTGAAGCTCGCCCACGCTAAGTAAGCTAACCCTATTCCCGGTCGACTAGCTCTGGGTTGAAAAAACCAATCTGAGCAGCAGACAACTGCCCGAGTAGTTGTACAGGCAAGTTTCTATTGCTGTGATTGAGTTTTTTGTGGTGTGATAGGATACCACATGTCCTGAAACTTTCATGCTAGAAGGACGAAGGTGGTGTAGTGGGAAGTGGGGATCTGTCACACACATGGCTCGGGGATCGTATCCCACTTCGACACTCGCTCAGACCGAATAAACACTCCATTCCTTCGAGTTCCGTTGATTGATAACAGACTCGTCTGATGGTGAGAAGATAGAAACGCTGACCCGTAGATCGGGTGGCCAACGTAAGTCATCCTCAGTCATAGGAAGTATAGGCATTCAAATGGCCACGATGATTGAAGAGGAAGCTGAATGCGTGGCGCGTCCTAAAAAGGGATTTGGCTAACATCGGAAGAATAACAAGTTCTGGCCGTCTGGATAGACGCTGACTGTCGTAGAAGTAAATTTTACTTATATGTCTGTGCTCTTCGTGGAAATCGAATGCTTGGCGCATTCCGTTTCATGAACNATATATATATATACTATGAATATATATGAACTATATTAAAAGTGATTCCCGGGGACCTGTAACGTTTCTAAGGAGTCCCTAGTGTCTTTTGCTCTGTTAGGAAGGTTCAATCGAGGATTTTTGAGGACTTCTTGGTGAAACAAAATCCGGAAGATGGTTGCGCTCTGAACAAAAAACCTGTAGAGTTGCAAAGGAGTTCACAATCGAGCGGACTACGCCCTGCAGACAAAAAAGCCTCTCGAGCCCCTTTCTTCTGTGTATCTCTTTTGTGACACTCCCGTACTGTGCAGATATATGTATGATGTACTTACTTCTCTGATATCCGGGTGAGATGCTAGTCTACCCGAAACTGAGTAAATATTCCAACATTTCAAGTACTGGTAAAGCATCAGGGTAGAGTTGCGCACGTTCCCTAGGCGTGAGCCGCAACTCTCTCGTGATCTATTTGATCCAGTTTCATAGGTCTGAAGAGAGTATTTCGTAGTGTACGGTGAACTAAGCGTTGCGGCGGGGTGTGAACGAGGGGACGGGAGGAGTTCGCAGCAGCAGTGACGGCGATTGTCGAGATAGTGCAACAGGGTAGGGAGGACACAGCGTAGTCGAAAATGTTGACGGAGGATAGAGCGGCAAGCGGCATCCCAGTCGGCATGGATGCTAGTGAAGAAACGGCTGAGGCTCGCGCTAAGGTGCGCCATCTCATGGCTCAGGCGCCGAATGCTCGTCCACCCGAATTTGTTAATCCATTGGAGAAGATCGAACAACTACTTACATGCCCTATATGCCTTGATCGTTATAAGTAAGTCACGCCTTTTATTCCGTTTTCCGATTTCGATTTCCTGTTTTATACGGTAGGCCTATCTGATACTACTGTTGTTCCTTTTACATAATAATATTTTGAAATTCACTATTGATAGCTTTGTTCGTTTCGTTATTCGTTGGTCTCTTTGCTTTACACTCAACTGCGCGTATTTCATTACATCGACACCAGCCAGACATTCTCTAACGCAGTTGTTTTTCGAATGGTAAAGCCCGAGCACGGACCATAGAATTCGTTTTGTTTGGTCCATTTAAAAATCGGAATCTCTAAAAATTCGTTTGGCTCGGGAGGGTGCCGTAGGCAAGAAATGTTGCCCTGAAACTTGTGACCGGTCACAAGTTCGGATCTTTGAGCAACTGGTACCGCTCAGCTTGGGCCCTGTAGAGAACATTCATAGCCAATGCTCGGATTCATCTATCCATTTCAGGCAACCAAAACTTCTCCCATGCCAGCATACCTTCTGTTATCCGTGCCTGGAGTCGTGTGCAGATACCCTGCATCGAACTCTCAAGTGCCCGGAATGTCGGGCCGAACACTCGATTCCCTACGAGGGAGTGAAAGCCTTCCAGGTACGTACCCTAATGATATCATATCCGATATATCAATTGGTTTAATTTAATCGATGTTTTCGTTCCAGTCAAACTACACCCTGACTGGTTTTCTCGAGATTCACCTGCAAGCCACACCGGACTCGGCCGCTGAAATTGAGGAGTATATTCGTAGGTGAGTGGGGGTTAGATATGTACGTGAGAGCTACGAAAAATGAACACCCTGAAGGGTGACTCAGTTCGGCTGTTCGACGATTTCGCCATGTCGTCCTCGTCGATTCATCGTCGTCATACGCTCTCTGTGAGCAGCAGCTGTTCGATTGACGCTATCGGTTCACGAAGAGCTGTGGGGAACATCCCCCGTGGTGGTGGACGCAACTGATCGATCGTAATTCGAGATCTTTTGAACATCANCAATGCCGATTTAGCAATAACGTTCTTTGAGCTGACTGTGTGACGTCTCCAGCAGCACTTGCGAGGGCGTTCAGCCATGTTGACAAAGCACCCGAGCGATTGAGGAGAGATTTGCCATCATATCCCGTCATCGAGCGCACACTAAGCAACACCACATGTTTCTGGGCTTCCCTCGATTCGATCTTGTCCATCGACCCCGTTCTCACTGTTTTGTACAATATGGGGATATGGAAAATGGGAGCGGAAGTAAATCCTAACTTTATTCGTAGTGAAAATTCTTCCGCAGTGCAGGAAAATATAAAACTGCCTGTGGATGCAATCGAAGAACCTCGGAATTTTCCCAGATCCGCCAGGAGCCAAAAGGTTGCACGGAATCTACCAGATCTTTAGAAAGTTTTGGGTCATAAGACTAGGTCCCTTACAAAAGGCACTCCTAGGTCTTCCAGAGGGCCAGCAGGTGTACTTGGTGGGATCTCCCCTTTTTAGACGTGATCGAGTCCGAAAGGTGTTCGATTTCTGAAATACATCCCAGGTGGCTAGAGTAAATAGGATACAGGTGTTGGGTCACATTATCTTAGTGATCGGGACTTTGTCGCCAGAAAAGTCAGCTGTTCCCTCATGAAAAACTTTTCACTGGCTTACCTCCGTGGGACCTGATTTTTACATCGAAAGGTAAGATTGTTCCAGAAATAGAACAATCCGTCGACTTCTCCAATCCTTTCAGCCGTGGCTTTCTATTTGCGTGTGCCCCGTTGACGTAAGGATATCTTCTCTTCTACATTACTTCATGAAGGTCATTCGGGTCCCAAGAAGTTGTAGAAAGTTTGCATTTCTCAAAATACAATTGGCTGGGAGAGTTATTGGAAGACTAGGGAAGAAGAATTGTCGGAAGTTCGAATATACCACAATTGCTAAGAGTTTTCACTCAAGCCCTTCCTCAAGTGCTAGGGTTTTTAGGTAGGTACCATCAGGTATCTCACTTGAGGTTAGGCTGCGTAGGTCGCACAGGGGTGACTGAATCTGTTCGAAGTATCGTGCTTGTTGACATATTGATCAGCTCATTTAAGATTTTCGAAATTTTAGGTGATTCCTATGCCAGGAGGGGGACAGGAGGGGGGATGGGATGAGCTTCTTCTTTTAATAATTGAAATTGCAGCTTTATTTCTGAATAATCAGCGAGTCAGTCAATCAAAGGCTGTTTTACCTTCTACCTGTGTCCGTGCCACTACCTGAGTAGCACGAAGTTCACCGAACAAGGGTTACCGAAACTTTTTGACCCTGAGTGGATCCGAAAAGGTCCATTCTACGTCAACTCGGACGTGTCTTAAAGAATTATTCTTGACTGTCTGACAGGTTCTCTACTTCCAGCCTCATGAGCTGATTGGAGGTGTTAGATTCTCTCTAGACGAGCTCTCGGTTACTATACAGTTCTTCAGGTCCGATAAATACCCAGTTGATTAGTACTTATACTATTACCAGCACTACCATAGTTCTACTACCCATATGGAAAGAACAATGGGAACAGGAAGATGCTATTGGAGATGGCCTTAGGATCCTTCTAGGGCAAGGTTTACCCTATTCCTCTGTGCGAGTCTTCGGTATGTGTCTAGGAATGAACGTCACGGTTGTACCTAAGCAGAGCTCATTAGGCAGATTTTGGTTTTATCCGTAAGGATTCCTAAAAGGACTGGCAGCTCTCAAGTGGTGCCATGTTAGAAACTGATTGTTGATCAGTGGCCGCTCAGATCATTTCGTCACTGATTGTTTTCCACACGTTGAACTCAGTTCGAGTGGCTCGTGCTCATCAATAGTCTTGTTGACTGCTAGACTTCCTCCTCTTTTTGTCTGGCTGGCAGGATAAATAAGCATCATCAGTTCAGATACAACCTCGAGCGATGCAAAGTTTGCGACGAAAAGGCCGATTGCGAGCTTTGCGCACATTGCGAACGAAAAGCCTGCAAAGAATGTCGCCAGACTCACATGGATATGTTGAAGAGGGACTTGGCAAGGCTACTCAATCAGGTACTTCGAGTTAGGCCGACGGTTTGCATGGACCTCGGGTGGTAAGCGGTCCATTACAGGTTCGTCGACTATCAAATCGAATCATCGAGGCATCTGACGGGCTCTCGAAAGGGCTGGAGCTACTCACGCTGAATTGCGAGACAACCAAGGACGAGGTCAAAGAATACTTTCACAGGTATCCAATTCAACAATAAGTATCGGATGTCAGCGTTCGTATGCTCGGCCTCAGCGATACCCACGATCATTTCAGGCATCAAAGGGATCTGAAGAAACGTGAAGATGCGTTTCTGAGTGAGATCGACACTTTCCACGCCACGGAAAGCCGTCTTATGAGCAATCTTCGCGATGTACTCGAGATCGAATCGTCGAACATGAGCGAGGCTGTTGCCAGACTCGATGCTGTCATCAAGGTTTGCAGTTATCAGCTTTATCTGAAGAGGATTTCTTGCTAATTCGATCAATCTTCAGGGCGAATGCACCCTTGACGATGCTGAGCTAGTTCGATTAAAAACAACATTTTCTGAAGGGCTGGAATATCTACGGAATTTCCAGGTACGTAAAATTGTTTTCTCTGTGTTTGCAAAGGGCAAGTAGTTTCGAACTCAGTTGTTCCGGATTCCGGTTTTCGGAAGACAAGAAACGATCGACTTGCATTTGTTCTTGACGGCAGTGTTGATTGCCCCTACAGGATGAGTTTTTTTAGCCTGATGCTGATGAGCTATTCAATCGTAAACTACGTTTTTCTGCTGGAGAGGACGCTGCCAGATTACCTCAGGCCATTACCACTTGTGGAGAGTTATGCGTACTTGTGCCACAGTTTGCCGGAAGGTATGTTCATGTCGTTTCCAGTCATGTAAAGGGGTTAGTCCAGCGCGGTAGAAATATCAAATCATCTTCAATTCTACAACCGGTCCCGAACTGTTCGAGGGGGTGAGTTCCCCGGGCACCTCCTACCTCTTTTTCGATTCATTTAATGTGCTTTACAAACGCTTTGCAAGGATTAATTGTTGTTTTTGACGTTTTTAAACAAAATCTTGAAGGATGAAAATAACTGAAAGGTGCAGGTTAGGAATGATGTAGTATAGAGGTAGAGGGTGGAGGTGGGGTGGTAGTCCCGTGTGGTCAGGGAGTATCGGATCAATACTCTTCCAAGACCATCAAACCCACTAGCCATACGGCGTCAAGTTGAGTTGTACCAAACTCATCTGGGAGAGTCAAAGTCTTTGCTTGTTCATTTGCTGGCCACCGAGAAGTTTCAATTTAGCTGAAACAATTAGCGTTCGATCATGACCCTACCAATCCTTAACTGCTGAAACCAAAAAGTCACCTCACAGCGGAGTTATGTATTACTCTTGAAATTGACATTTCTCAAGATCCATATTGAACCTCGCCTTCTTTTCACAATCAGTAATGCTTAGAGATGGGAGCCAGGAGCAACGATTATAGTGATCGAATCCAGATGAGCAGCTCAATCTCACTCAACAATCTGCTTCTATTCTCTTACACTACGACTAATGTGTTGTTGTAAACACAAATGGAATTTCATATGGGAGTGTTCTGAGCATCAGACGGAAAACTCCTTCACGGTCTGAGGAAGGTTACTAGCCCCAGTGAAAAGTTATTTACATTCATCATCAGCTCCCCCTGTAGCCACTTTGATTGGTTACGTATTGAGAATGTATCGAAAGCTCTTCCCTCATGGGGCTTTTCAAAGCACTACTCATAAGTGAAGTTGCAAACTCTGCTCAGGTTTCATAAATGCAGGATATCATTACCCAGAACAGATGGGTTCTTCTGGAATGATTATGATGGTTTCTATCGCATCTTCTATTGACCATATTCCCTTTGGATTCCATTTTTCTGAGTGTTGTTGTGGGAATCCTAGGGCATGGTGATACAAGCACTACGCAGATGTTTCGTCAACTCAAAATATTTGTTAATGTTGCTATGAGGAATAAAAGGTGACTGAGCACTTCTCAGCTGTCCGCGGAACCTTGTGATTGTGAGTACAATATTTAGAACCCGTGACATTTTGGACTCTTGGTTGAACTCGAGATAATCGAGTTTAGGAGGAGCCCATGAGTGTTTCAGTTTGCTCAATCATTCTTTATAAGAGTTCGTCTGAGTTCATTCTGAACTCTCATATTCAAGCGACGACTAAGGAAATCCGATGTGGGAAGCTCCGGTGAAATCTGAGTAAACTGTAATTATTTGGCTTTCGATCAGGAAAATTTGTGGCCATAACCAGCCAGGAGTACAGTTCCTTAACTGTGTACATCAGGTGGGAAAAAGGACTAGACAATAATGATCACCAGTCATTATTCCCCGTGACCCATATACTCCACAGGCTCCAGAAATCATCGGTTTGAAAAACAATGCGATTCTCACGGACAGGGCATTTGCAGTGTACCGAAGGAGCAGTGGAAGACAAGGATAGGAGAAGTTTAGGAAAGGAGCATCAACAGTCAAAATGTTAAATTTCTGAGCAGGTTGTACCGAAAGATCAGGCTCTCGCTTTGATCTGTATTGCTCTAAGGATTGCGTGAGCGGTTGAACTCTCATTAAAAAAAGAGATGACATTGGAATGCGTAGTTTGCCCTGTTGGTGGGAGCCAAACTATCAACTAGTAAGTTAAGTTCATTGGTTGTTCGGGCGGGGTTTCTACTTGATGAAGATGGAAGACTTGTAGTTTTGGTGTGGTTATTAGGCCAGGATGTAAATTCTACATAGGGCGTGTTCCTGCCGTGGTGTTATCACAGTTAGGCTTTTGAAACCACTTGAGAGGAACAGATGTACCTGATCCGGTGTATGTTGGCATGGCCTATTATCTTCCCAGCGAACTTGCAACACAATAGTTTTTCATTTTTGATGGGATTCGGGATACGGTATCTCGACATCGTTGCCCTCCATCTATATGTTTTACCTACTTTTTTAACTAGAAGAATTCATTACCCGAAATTATGCAGTGGTAGATTAGCCCTGGTAACAAGTGCAATACATTATCTACTTCTACGACTCTTCTCCACCATTATTAATTCCTTCCCTCTTAACTTTCGATAATAAAGAGCAGTAACTGTGCTAACCGCTCGCTGTAAACCACAAGAGGCTTGCTCGAAAGAGCAGCTGCAGCAGATTAAAGCGAAAAGTCGCTTTGTGAATTTGACTAGGTAGAGAGCTGCCGCTTTTCTTTATTTCCTCGAGAATTCCCGACATTACAAGGAGTTACCGGAATTTTTGAGCGGAAAAAAATGGGAGCAGCTTACTTTTCTTATTCATTTATTTATTCGCCTCATCAGCGGCGAAAAGGGGAGTACTGTTGGTTAATTGGAGCAAAATGTGTCCCTTAACCACCTTTTATCCAAAACCGTAAAAACTACTGATTTTCGCAGTACTTTTACATCTCTTTGTTTTTGTTGGCTTAAGGTAATGATTATAACTTGACAGGAGTTCCGGTTTTTCAAATCGGGGTTACTTATGGATTGCATCTCCTGCCACTTTCTATCTATACCCTCTTATCGCCCCATGTAAACAACCACACCCACACATAGCCATATGTTCGTTCTGATAGCGGCAGAGCGGATTTTAACATGACGCACATATGCCCTCTCCCACTCACTTGACCTCACTCTTATCTTTGCCAAGTCCATGAACTGTCTATCCTCGATCGCGAGGGCTGCTCTCCATTTGTTTCCGCCACCGCTTGTGGTGATGATTGTGATGGAAGAAGAGAATCAATCACATCAAGAAAGAAGGGCAAAGTTTGCAACTACGTTTGCATTCCCACCTCGTTTCTGTTTGGGCAACCGATACTGACACGAGAATACTAAAAGCTGGGACTTCACAATCTGGGGCTACGGCGTTCAACAGTCTCAACCCCATTCAGTTGACTTCTGGTCCAATAGTTTGGCTTATACGACATGCATGCGACTGCGAACGTTCGTTTCATGCATGGAAATAGCCTTCCCATCTAGCCACCCCCCACGTGGTTATGAACACCCTAACCATCCCTTGAAGGTGTACTACCAGCCGTGTGTTGTAGTACGATGCCATTATACGGCGCAAAACATCCGAGGGCTCAATCGCAACAAGCAAACAAAAAATTCATAGGTGCACTCGCTCCCAGTGTGTGCTTGTAGCTCTGGGAACTGGGATATGGCGTTATATTGGGGAAATTTATGAGGAGAGTTAAGAGAAGAAGCTCTCCTTGACTCAAGTAATATCTCGAGCAGAAAACTCTGGTTCCAGTTCTTCCCCAGCAGTCTTAAATCAAAAGTGCATGTCAGTATCAGTCATGAACACATGACTCCACTCAAAATGACAAAATGATCACTCAGCGACTTTGAAGAGGGCATCAAAAAAGTGTTAATCACCTGTGTTCAAGAATTATTAGCACAAACAGGGAATAGGAGAGATTATCACCAAAACTACCTTCTTAGAGAAGACCCGCGCTAATAAGGATAATCAACAGCTCACAGCTCAAAGTTGGATGGATGAATTCAGGGCCCATGGGTGCATTTCTTCAGAGCATAGTTCATTACTATGATTTTTCCAATTTTTTCGAATTAGAATGCAAGAAGAGGTTGCGTGTAGCTCACCTCCGCACTGCTCCATCCCTCTTGAAATATCGCGACTGGGTTCGATCCAATCGTTGGCGGTGCCGATCCTCGGTTATCTAGGGGGAGACACTTGTTTCCTTTACCTAGCAGGGAATAAATGCGTTTGGGAACCCAGTTCAAAAGTTTCCTTACAGTTCAGCTGGGAAGTTTAAGTGTTAATCTGATGTTTTCCAGTAGCATTTGAACAGCTGACAATTAGTACTTTCAGGTATCTTCCACTGGAACAATCGTACCTACCGCGACCTTTTCGTCTGACATTAGAAAGTGATCAGCACCGTTCACGTCACGGTCACGAGGACTCACGCGCGAACGATCGCGATCGTCCTTCGTCCAGGCTCACGTGAGTTTCATAGCCAGTTGCCCTGAGGGTAATATTCACAAACTTTTTCTCGGGATTGAGTAAACGAAAAAATTTCAAGCAAGGGGGCTATGCGGTTGCAATTTATCGGGGAAATCTCAACTCTTATCAGCTCTTTTCAATTGCGTCAACACCCAAGTCTTGAAGAGTTTGCACCTATAAGGGATCATCTCCCACTGATCAACGAGGAATTCCTTCTCGGTCCTATACGTTACACTCCACACGATCTGTCCGTCAATAATACTCACTAGTAGAGATGTCACACCTTGGTGACAGGGTCTGGCGTCTGGGTTCGATATGCTTGCTCAGGGCAGTAGTCGGTGAAAATAGGGTTCCCACCACACTTTCGCGAACTGACACCAATTTGATGCAAAACTTGTAGAACGGCGTCGATCTGCACTGGTATGGTGCAGGGCCTGTTAGGTCGAGGACCTTTGTAATCGAAAATCCTACAAAACTACGACAAATTTTACAGGGCGCGGATTTTGTGATACAGTAACCGTATACAAATTCATAGAAAAGAAATTAGACGGCTAAGAAGACCCGTTGCGCAAGCATACACGCGAATTTGAGAAATTTGGCTTCATCAGTATTTGTTTCTGCTTTCATTATTTTTTGAAGCCCAACGGGTTGGCTACAATCACAGGGGCAGTGGGTTTCGTTATTTTTAGATTAGTGTAAAGGTGGGGTACAGCCCATAAAAAACAAAAGAAGTATGCTGCATGTTCAAGGTTTAGTTAGATCTGGAAGCCTTGCACCAACTGTTTTGAATTTGCTGCGCCTCTTCAGGGCATGTTTGCCCTTTCTTTTTCTTCGACTTACTGCTGGGTTACATCAATACTACATAGGTGGACTTTGGTGAACTAGTTTGGCCCCTCGATACACCGCTTTAGTGAAAACGAACTAGTAAAGCATGTGTAGGCAAACAGTAATTATGGCCTCTCCTAAGCCGAAGTCTATGTACATATGTAGAGCATCATGCGCATTGGAAGAGAGAAACACCGCGTCTACCAGTTGAGTCTTGAACAATCCTCGATAATTGGAACGTCTAGGTGAGGCAGTGGTGACTAATGAGCATTGTGAAAGAGTGCTATCCGGTTTCGAAATAAACCCAGATTCCCAACTGATCGGATGATTGATTACACATTTTGATAAATATGGCTCACAGTGGTTGACGAAAAATGGACGAGTTCGACTGATTATGTAATTTTAGTATCATCTAGATGTGTAGGCACATATGAGGGCACAGTTCACAATAAGATGGGTTTCTGGGGTTCCTATTTTGAATGAACTTATGACTCTCCAGGGTGGCTCAAGGGGTGCGGTCGGGTCGAAGGTCAAAAAACGGACAACATAGGGTTCAATAAGGCCCAGAGTAGGTTTAGCCGACGTACGTGCACAAAGCCTACGAGTTTTTAAGTGTTTTGAAAGCTGTAGTAGTTGCCCCGTTCTCATCGGGACCCACACTGGCGCGTGTATTCAAACAGCTCGTCCGAATACCCCTTCCGTGCAACTTTTGTCGTCACATTCTCGTCCAATCCTAATTTTACTTTTTTTTCGAGGCCTTATATTTCTCTGGATACGCCGACTTCCACGCGTCCTTTAACACTTTTGCACTTTTCTGGACTACTAACTTCTATTAGTCTAAAACTTTCAAAAGTGGATAACCTAAAATTATCGTGAACTGTGCCTTTGAATGCCTGTCAGTTATAAAGAAGAAGTTGAAAGCCAAGTTCCTCGGAATGTGACCTGAATACAGATCGTCAAAGTGCTAGTCTGATTAGGCTAGAGCATTGGTGAGGGCTGAATAGAATATATAGCGAAAACATTACTTTTAGTTACTTGCCATCGAGGCAGTATGATACAACAAACGGAATAATCTCATACGACTTCTCACGGTATTCTTCTCTGTAGAATAGAAAGTAGAAAGACGTAGTGGGAAAACTTCAACAACCTGATTGCCTTTGCTTTTAGTGTACGCGACCTGGACGAGAGCTCTATACGATATCGTCGCCGTCAACAGTTGGAAGAAGAGGCATGGAATCGTCTTCGAGGTACCAGTGCTGCTATGGAAAGAAACGGTACATCGTCAGTCACTTCTACCGAAAGGGAAGGCTCAACTGTTGGCCGAAGTCCGTGGTCAAGACCTCCCGAAGCGTCTTCACTCAATGCTACCCCGGTGCCTGAAACTACTACTCCCGCTTCCGCTCCGAAAAAAGAGGTAAATCGTTCATTATGTTTGTTGTTAGAAATCAGCTAGCATGACTGTTTTCCTTGCAGGCACCTCCCGTGCGGCAAGCAGAACGTGCGCAGGCCTCAAAACCTACTCCCTTGAATCTTCCGAGGCCAGAGCGTGCAGCACAACCTCGAGTTGATGTGAGTCCCGCTCCGAGATCTCCAAAGCCGCCATCGAGTCCTGCTCCACTGATCAGAGCAGCCGAACCGGCTAAGGAAGAGACTGAAGAGGTTCGCTCAAGAAAGCCGCCACTTCCAAGGCAAGCGTCCAGTAATGACGAATCACTCAATGAGAAGGTAGAGGTGATTCGAAGAGCGCACGCAGAGCGCCAGGCTGCATCTCGAGCCGCTTCCAGCGAAGACTCTGAGGCCGAAGAGGCATCTCGACCTAGACAACGTATTCGAATCGTGTGCCGTGCAGCAAGTACCACTCGCGATGATGAACCTATAGCAACAGCTGCCAGCGTACCTCCAGGTGTGCCGATTCCAGTCACACATTTCACAGGTGAGCCTGAAATACCCGCTTGGCTCGCCAGGAGACGTCAACGCTTTCAGCGATCCCGAACTAACCCAGACCTTGCGTCTCAGTTCTGCTCACAGCGTGTACAGCAGTTGCTTCAAGAGAGAGATTCCCGTTTAGATAGCTCGACAAGCACCGAAGAAGAGCGAAGAAACATTCGTCGTCGTAGTGCGTCGCGAGAGATCAGTGAGTGGAGAGCGCGCGGATGCCCTCGCGTGATCTTTGGTCGTAAGGGAGCCAAAGAAGGAGAATTGAATTGGCCCCGAGGAGTATGTGCCCTCCGAGGTGGGACACTGGCTGTATGCGATTCGAGTAACCATCGGGTTTGTGTGTTTGACCGAGAAGGCAAGTTTTTGCGACAATTTGGCGGCTATGGCTCTGGACGTGGACAGCTTGACTCAGCAGCCGGCATAGCCACATTTAAAAGTAAGCTGATTGTATCTGACCGATACAATCATCGGGTTTGCATCTTCGATTCTGATGGAACGTACCTGAACTCATTCGGTGGTCATGGGCAGTCCAACGGGAAATTTAACAATCCGTGGGGCGTAGCCGTTGACGAATTGGGAACGATCTACGTTGCCGACAAGGTAGGATTCGATCACGATTGATCGAAACTTTTGTTTTTCATCAATAACACTTCTTAAGGATAATCATCGGGTGCAAATGTTTGACAAAAATGGATTATTCGTGGGCAAATTTGGCACGAATGGCCATGGACCAGGGCAATTGCACAATCCGTTATTTATTGCTGTGAATAATGCTAACCATCAGGTAAGGTGATGATCCAAGCCAGAGAAGAGGAAGACTGCAGAAGTAGTAGGAATGGGCTCCGTTGGGCTCGCGTACTTTTGATTCCCAGCCCGGCTGCCAACTTGCGATTTGAAGAAAGTTCAAAGTGCATGGTAACTTGTGACAATCTATCTTTTCTATCCCTAATAGACCTAACCACTGCGGCATTTACCAACATTCCCATATTCCAAACACTTCTTAGCTGTCTACTTGTTCTTGCATGGTGTTTACTAGCAACTAGGGGATGGGGTTTAAGCGATTTCATCCAGGTCTACGTCTCGGATTCGTCAAATCACCGAATTTGTGTCTTTGACGTTCAAGGAATGTTCCTGTTCTCATTTGGGACCGAAGGGTTCCACGGTGGGCAGTTCAAATTTCCTCGTGGTGTTGCGGTGGATTCACAGGTGCGTGGTACTTGATCCCTCCTTACTTCTCTTACGAAGGCTTATCCATTTCAGAGCAATATCCTGGTCGCGGACTCTGGGAACAATCGAATTCAGGTACGATGCCCAGAGCCATTCTGTACTCGGGAGTTAGCGCATGAGCTTGGTTTCAGGTGTTCTCATCAGATGGCGAATTCATTTGCACATTTGGAACGTGGGGTGGAGGTGCCGGTCAGCTGAAGGGCGTCGAAGCGCTTTGCGTATTTGACGGAGGCATCGTCGCCAGTGATCGAGAGAATCACCGTATTCAGATCTTCTAACCCTCAACTTGTCTTCACCGAAAACGAGTACTTCTTCTCTATGTGTGCATCTCTCAGCTTTAACTGTTGGCAGTTGTTACGTCGAATCATCACAATGTTACTAAGGAATGAAGAATAAAGCTGCTGTTGCGTCGTTGGATTATAACTTCTGTACAACTTTCTTGAATTCCCTTCACCATCACGTCATTCAAGTTCTTTTCTCTTATTGAAAACTATTGAACGTTGTATGTGTTTGGTTGAAGTCGTCGTTATGAACCCTTATTGAAGTTGTAATTTTGATTAATTACGAGAAGATTGTTGACCGTTTAATAGACAAGATTTTCAATAAATATTATGAATTTCGCTTCAAAAAGTTTTCATTCGTTGCTTCCAGTTCAATTGGATGCTACCGGGAAGATGTCTTACAGTTCCCCTTAATTTGACACTTAACGTTCATCAGGAGCAGCGCCTATGGACCTAAAAATAGAGGTATCGTTGAATTAGAGAGAGAAGCTTAGGAGATGTAGTGTTTTCTCGACGAGAAATGCCCTTATATCACAGAAAGTGACCAGTGAGTAGCACCCAGTAACCACTTATCGGTGAGTAAGTGTGGTACCCCTTCTATATCATCCTGGCTTCAAATGGTTGCATTTGCATGGTTATGTTGCTAAGGAACCTCTTACGCTTATTCGGCAATACTTCAAGACCTCTGCACGCTCTTACAGAACGACCATACAGGGCTCTGCTCAAAAAGGCTGGAATGCGCAGTGCACTGGCTATTACCTAAACCCTTGCATATTCAAAATTACCATACCTTATGCATACCTTATTCCATAACTTCTTCAATAGAATGTTCTGACTTGTTTTCCAGCGGCAAATCAGTCATCACCTTTATTTTCATTTCTACCTTCATCAAATCATCGCACCCATAGCATTTGACAGCTATAAATCCTTTGGCCTTACAGTTTTGATTTGGGCAAATTATTAACGACAATGCAACATGTATAAAATATCTAAAGGTCCTCAACAAGACCTTATCGGGTACTGTGTGAGCGTCTAATAGCTGGTCTGCTCTTCGGAGCCTATGCAGCAAGCTGAGCAAGTTGAATTGCCACTTCGATTTCTTTTTAGCCTCCCACAGAAATAAAAAAAAGTGTTGGTATAGGTAGATATGACATATCCAGTTTAATAGGATGAAAAAATATGCCAGATATATAGGAAAAGCGTCTTAGTGATTTCCTTGCAAACATCGCGAGACCAGAAATTATCATCGCTTTTTAATCTCCCACTATCTTCTTGCTCAGAAGCAGAGTAGCGGGAGGCTAAAAGTCTAGTCGAAGGGGTTGCTTGCGATGGTGATGCAGTTTCTGTGGCAATCCATCTAACAGCAAACGATTTCTTTTTCACCTTCACCTACCCTTTCTCTCTTCTCTTTTCCTCTTACCACATTTTCTCTTGAGGTTTAATCCTGCTTCGCTCTTTTTGTCAGGTAACACCACTGTCTTGTACTTGGAGTATGCTCTGCTGTGGATGAAGAGGCCGAGCGCTCTTTTTCGATTCCTTTTCCATCTTTTCAGCACGTATTTAGCTGTGATACCCTCCATGTTTTTTATTCTCTTCAGCCAAACTACAATCGAAAGAGCCTTGTTTTAGCGTAGTGTAGCTTGCCACAGCCTACTGCTAAAATCAGCATTGCTATCGTATGGCATCTTGGATCCTACCACGTTGTTCCGGAGCTTGCTCACAACCGTGCTGGAGCATTGTGGGTAATAAAATCTTGCGGAATTTTTCTATGTTCTTCGTAATTGTGACCCTTCCCGTTTTCAGCTAGCTTTCTGGAATAAAATGTCTTGATGAATACCAAGGGGCCTCTTGTTTTTGATGCATTCTCCTTGGCGGTCTAGCGAAAGCTTGCTTTCACTGTGTAAATAAAGAAGGTGTAATGTTGTTTTTGCAAAACATGCCGAAGGTCATTTTCTGAGAGGGCTATCAATCGTCTTGTTAGTTTTCCTATTGAATGGCTTCACTAATGTAAGCATCAACAACAATATCATGTCAGTTTAGTTGGAAAAACCTAACTGCTACGTCTTTTCGAACCAATCCTCATCCACTCAGATGGACAGTTGAAAAGATGGCTGTAGGGCATTTAGCAAAGTCGGTAGCGTTAAGCCCAAATGGGGCAAGAGCGACTCTGAATGCCCTGCACGGCTAACCACGCATAGGGACTAGTCCATCCAAATTTCGGAGGAAACTCAAGCAGTTTCTCGAAGAGGTGTCATCCCGATCTTGCTAAACCTTAGAAAACATTCGATAGAGTTGGTTCGGGAAAGGATGGCTATCAGGTCGTCCTTCACGGACAACGCCTTTGTTAGAACTAACAGTAAATTGTCATAAGAAGGCCACTCACTAATTCTTTTCAGTCTCCATGTCAGTTATCACAGCCAAAGAATCGCCGGGAGAGTTTGCTGACCGAGTAGTCAAGGCCGATTAACTAATATGTAAAAAATAGAACACGTTAGTCTTTCTATCCTCCATTTTACGCTGACATTTTCCACCAAGAGACGGCGTCCATTTCTAAATGCCTTCATCAGATACGATCCCTTTGCAATCGAATTTTTGAATGGATTCTGTACCAAACCAAAAGTGTAATAAGAACTGAAGACGCTTTTTTGGAGAGACTCTGCATGGGTCGACAAGCACCACCGCTGTCGACTCGTTGGAACTAGGTCAACATTCGCCGATGGCTTCTGCCTCAGCGGAATCGTGGCCGCTTACCCAAGGCCATCCTGACCTAGTTTCGACGGACCTTTCATCTTTAATCAGTAGGAGATGAAGGAACCGATTGCCTTGTTCCGGCGCAGACCCCGCTCTTCTTTTCCCACTACCTTGAGTCGCTGTTCGCTCTGCTAGTCGAGCTTGTTCTACGGTAAANGAACGGGTATTCTGGTAAAATGCAGCGTTGCACTGATTAAAAACGTGTAGGGGCAGTGGTACAAAACAAAGCGCTATAGTGAGAAGACGAGGTACACCAGGGCTATTTAATTCTACTCATCCTTTTGTGGCCCTTTATACAATTTTTCTGAAGTCCCTTTCTTACTTATAATGTACAAAGTTCAGAAGGTAGGTATCACCAGCTCTAATATGGCTCTCCATGAGAAAGCTTGGATGGGGCTCACAAAACCGGATGCAAATAAGCTTTGATAAGCTTGGCGTTTGCTCAGTAATTGTTCGGCAACCCTGTAAGTTCCCGAGGTAATATTTCATCTTCTTCGAGTAACATGGGGTTCATCCTTCAGCTCATCCAACATCCCCCCTTTGTGTAACTCTCAAGTTTCAGTGTCCGTTATGCAGAAGTCGCTCATAGGAAGGGCACAGTAAGAGGTTGAAAAGGCAGCAGTCAACCAGAGAGCCCGTCGCTGAAGGGCAAACACAAAAATAGTGACTGGATAGCAAAAAGGAGCGTCAGGCGAGGAATTACTGCGTAATCACGAGCGGCGTAACTATAGCTTTTGCCTGGCCCTATAGGCAAATCTACCGTGTCTGAGAACTTTTCTCCGTACGTATGTTACTTGACGAATTCGTAGTCTGGAATCCACAGCCGAAATCGACGGGTATGGGAAAGAATTCGCGAGATCTTTTTTGCATTGATTGAGTTGTATCAGTAGCCGTGTACGGGTACGTAACAATGCTTGCAATTCATGGAAAAGGTGATTCCTCAACAGACTATTCAGTTGCCGTAAGCAGATGGAGCTGAAAGGCATAACAAGGCATGACCGTTTAATTGCAGTGGGAGGAATATTTACAGTATTCATATAAGTGCTTATTGAAGAGATGATCACAGCTTGAACTATAAATAGAGGCAAGAGAGTTTTACGCGGCAGAATAGGTAGCAGAATTATAAAAGCCAACGTTTACGCAATGGGCGTGCCCCTTTGTATCGTGTGAGGCCTCACCCGAGGTCTTTAACTACAAATTGGGTAATCAAATTAGGAAATGTAAAGTGTGAATTAGTTACGCTTGAGCAGTCTCTGAGCAAGATATGCAATCACCTTTCATAGAGTCGAATTAATGGGTCACAGTGGAATAATCCGAATTGACCGTGAAGACCCTATTGTCGAAAGAAAAATAATAAGTAATCAGGAAAAAGAGCTTTTCGCCAAACCCATGGTCATTTAACTACTACAAACTCGCTCCCGGGTCGAAGGGAATAACGATTCTGATAATCTTGCCTCTTCTGGGATTGCAAATGGGGTAGAGACATGGGGAGGTCTTTAACGACTGACCCACCTAGTTTTCAAGAGCTTTAATCTGAGTAAGAGTCAAGACCTTTCAAAATACCTCTATGTATGATTGCTCCAGTTGTTCGTGATGGAGTTCTTGAACCAAACGTAGTGGAACACCTCATCCTCCACTTAATCTGGCTCCTTACGGGTAACCTCATTTTAGTGAAGCTCGTGTGTTTACCATACTTCTTTCCGCTTGCCTGCTTTATTGCAAGAAACCACAACTAGACGTCACCCTTAGCACTACCCACTGGATTGAACTTTGGAAGTGAGCATTAATTTTGCTCCTGTACGATGAACGCACTATTTTTCAACTGATCCTAGAGCAATGGAGGTTTTGATTGCCTTGGTTTTGAGTCTCATTTCCAGAGTAAGTATACATTAGGAATGGCAGTGACGTCATTTGACACTCCCCACCATCGCCTTTTCTTGGCAGTTTTTTCTTTAAATCTGATCTATAGTATTTGCGTTGACCAACCACACCTCCAGGGTCGCTCCATTAGTACCAGACTCGTATGGAAGGACAACAACATGGCTCGTGCATCGGCTGGTGACGGCAAGTCATTGCTTCTACCACCTACACATTCAAAACTTCACTGCGATTCTGAATGGGATTCATATGCTGGAGCGCATCCCAAAACGGAATTGATCAATGCCAAAGTTTTGATCCTTTTAACTTTTATATTTAATGGAAATTAAACACAATCAGTTTTCACCAAAGGATACTTTCCGTAGTTG